TGTTCGTGTCGCATTTTAGTTACCATTATAATTTTTAAAATCCAGCTCAGAAATAAATTGCCGGAGCAAAAAGAAAAGTTTATTCCAAGTGTTGTATACAAATTTTTTTTTCCAAGTTGAATTTATGGTCGAGTAAACTTCGAGGTTGAATGTATGCTAGAAAAAATCTCAGCTTTTGGCTCTTTCAAATACTTCGTGAAACTGCATTTTAAATAGAATATTGAATGCAATATTGCGGTTTTCATGGCCTTTTGAAACTCAAAAAATTTCAAAATTCAATGATTTCCTGTCTGTAAAACTTTAATTTTGAACTCGCAAAAACATATTGGACAGGAAGATAATTTCCTGAGTCTATTTTGAAATACTGGACTGAAATTTATTTGGTTGTTGTGGAATCCATGCTCTTTTAGTCAGTCCATTCTTATTGCTTGTGAAAAATGTTTTGTCAAATTAGAGCACAATTTCCCGTGATTTATCCAGAAATTACATCACTGTCTAATTTCGACTACATTTTCAGACTTTAAAAAATGGACTTGCTCCAGAGGAGTCACTTGTTGTTTGAATTTGAAAATTACATCAATTGGGTCGATCAAGTTACGTCTAAATTTACCCAGTAAATTATGTTTGACTAATTTGGATGAAACTTGCGAATGTACGATGCAATGCTTGAAAATATGTTCAGCTCTAAATAATTAAATTCATGTGAGAATTTTTTTTTATAAAGTTGCTCAAGCGTTTCTTTTATTTTTTTTTCAATTTGTCTGCAGATTGTGGGAAATACGGACGTGCACAAGAAAATGGTGGTAGACGTGTGAAACCTTAGCGGGCGGAAACTTACCTGAGCCATATTACTTGGTGTGCACCTGTTGCTGGTAGCTGGTTGGAAGGTTTTACTTACCCCCTCACTGGGATTGTCCTGGATACCGTGGATGAAGAATTTTGCATGCGTGATTTTGCTTTTTCCTTTCGGTTTTTTGCATATGCCAAGTTTGCAAAAACAAAAAAATTTTGAGGGTTATTATTATCAACATCACTATGCGGATCCTGCCAAATTGCAGCGTCACTTTTCAGAATTTTTACTGTTTACGCATACGTGTCAATTCGATTGCCATATTCTTTCGTGCATATGATGCTGTTTTTTCTTGCTCTTGCGGAAAATGATACGGAAACGGGAAACGTTTGCAAAAAAAAAAAGGAAAGAAAAAGTGTTGTGTGACATTGCTCTGGAAGGGGTTGTTGTTTTGCCAAACTTTTTTTCAGTTATCCATTCATTTGTGTATAATGATAAAAGAAAATGTACACGAGTTACTGACTTAAAAGCTTGGCTCAAGGTCAACGCCTGTGTTCAGAGATCACATCAATTATGCTTGCTTGCGAGACTTGTTGATACTCATCAAGCTGATCACGATATTAATTGGGACACTGGTAGAAATTACGACTTACAGATAGTTAGTTTTCAGTGCAAAAAGAACTCAAAGCTTCATTCGGGATGACGTTTGCAATGAGCTTTTTTTGTATACATGGAATGTTTTTTGCTACTTATATAAAAAAAGGTGTGTAAATTTGAATAACGGTAAGGCTTAGAGAAAAAATCGGGGTAATCGCTAACGGATCAGGTTAAGAAGACGTAGAGCTTGTAGTCCCTTTTTTCTCATACAAATCTGTTCTAGTCATTTTCTAGTTTGAAAACAATTTACCTGGTGCCGCATATTTGAGCAGAGTGCATTGCGTTTTTTTGTCACTTGGAAGTGTTGCGTGAGCCCTGTCCTGGTTCCTCACTTTTGAGATGGGGATACTGCCTACCATTGGTTGGTGATGTCTAATCATTCTATTTTTGTATTCCGTTTACCATGGATATGTGATTCTGGAAAATTGCCGATTCTGTTCTCTCTAAATGTCTCGTCTCGTCTGGACTCTGCGCTGTGTCATTCAGTTTTCACCCATGACTTCAGAACCCGCTGCAGGGGAAAATTCATTCATGGCTCTACGATCTCATATCCAGGAACAGTTGTACACCTGCAGAAATCTGGGCAAAAATGTTTCCTTTTTGCTTCCATGTGAATTGATCATTTGCGAGCCACTCAATAAACATTTTGCTAATCCCGGACTCCGCTCCTTCATTTCTTATGTTATTCTAATTTTGTTGTTGATCAACCTGCTTGGGGCAGTTTTCCCCAACCTGTTCTGGCCTGCAGACTGGAAAATTTATATTAAATTTTTTGAAGACATGCAAATTTCCAAAAAATATTCAGAAAACTGGCTAAGTTTCTTCAATTGTTTTGATTGCATACACAATAAAGTTATGTTTGAAAGACTTCATGAAAGGCATTTAAAAAGTGTTGAGTTTTTGTGAAAAATGAAGTTGAGCATCAGTGAAGCAGCTTTAGGGGAATGTCTTCCAAAAATTAGTAATGCGGGCTTGAAGAATGGTTTCTTGGGATGAAAATTGAAACAATTCATTTTAGCCAGATAAAATTTGTCTGAAGTGGTTTTAGGGGAAAAGCCAAGTTTCTATTTTTCATCAGGTAATTTATTTGAACTGCCATTGTCTTTCCAAAATTTTAGATAAAAATAACACACATGAAAATTTGTATCAAAAGTTATGTCATTGCTGGTCAGCAGGAACTTTTTAGGAAATCACCTGGTCCACAAACAACTTTTATGGAAATTTGCATCTGCAAAAAAAAAAAGGTTGGGAACACTGCTGTAAGGGATGCAGTGTTCCCTAGCACCAGTGAAGCCCTTACATGCAGTCATGTAAGGGATTACTTTTGAAAAGGGCATACAATATACAGTGTGTTCAGAACCATTGAAGTACAGTACTTTAATTGTTTCAAGCATCAATTTCATGACTCCGTTGGCCACGAAATTAACGCATTTGCCTTTCTAAATTAGGAAACACTCATCATCCTATTAGAACTTCAAAAGAAATAAGAGAAAAAAATACTCCGCAATTCAAGTTCTCGCATCTGCTTTATGGCATTTTCTCAAGAAATCGTATAAAAAACAAAGAACCGAAAAGTCACAGGAAACCATACCAATGATTTTCCACCCTCAATCAGGAAGAAATCCAGCTTTCAATCTTCTTCCTTCTGCACAGGCTTCTCTACAAAACTGTACCAAAACTGACGCCTTTAACGTGGTTCGATTGAAGCGGTGCATTAGTTTCCTGCGACAAATCCATGGGCATCTGGAACAGTTCCGCTGGCTCAAAGTCGAGCGACAACAAACTGTCCCTCAGTTCCACGTGGAAGAAATACTCGTACAAGGGAACACAACTGTAGGTTGACACGCACTCAATGAGCCATTCCACACATACTAGTGCTGCACCGAAGCCCCACAGTCCTGCAAGGATTCATAAAAGAAAAAAAGATCAGTAAGTTTAATGCAGCTGAACCCTCAAGAAAGAAGAGGGGTGGACCAAAATGAAACAAGTGGACCGATTTTCAATTAATGATCCCTGTGAAAAATTGAAGCTGGCCTTGAATGCAAAATGTCACATAACAGGTCTCAAATTTCCAATGACCCCCATGCGAAAAATTTTAGGTACCACAAGTTAAATTAAAATTCCTATATTTTCATCATTTTAATTTTTAACTGGGTTAAATCCCCAAAATAATAAGGGGGTAGGACCAAAAAATAAAGGGGACCAAATTTTATTGAGCGTTATATTTGTAAAAAATTTCAGCTACCACCAAATGCAAAAAAAGGAAACACAAAAGGCCCCAAATTTCCAATAACCCCATGTGCAAAATTTAAGCTACCACAAATTAAATTAAACTTCCTATATTTCCAAGGATTTTTATTAACCTTGATCCTGGATAATTGCCCTTTTGAATGACAATTTCATTCTACAACATTGGACAACATAAAGCAACTGTTTTCCAAAAACTCGAAGATACGAGAAATCTGGGTTAAAGAATAATTTTCCTTAAATTTTTTTTTTATAATAGTGATTGTCTCGGCCCTCCTTTTCTAAAAGCCACTGGAAAATTTGGAAAACGACGCCCATTTGGTTTTGCTTTTGAAAAAATATTAAGCACAAACTGAAAACACTTTTCATCATCAAAGGACTTCAGTTTAAAACAGGATACTGCACACACACTTCTAGACACGAAGGGCAGAATCAAACTGGAATTTCACGAATTTATGAGACATCCTTCTTGACAAATTTTTATTTATTGTGGATCGTCACAAAAGTCTCAACCATTCACAGATTAATAAATTTAAAAAATGTAATAAATTGTGCAAGGGACCTTTCGCCAAAAAAGAAAAGGTGGCATCACTGTTCAGAAAAAAAATCGATCCATTTCTGGGCAACCCTGTAAAACGTACGTTCAGCGAGTCGTTTGTCATAAGACTCCTCCGACACCAAGACGACGAGAAATCCAACACCAGTGTACTCCAACAAATTGCTCAAGATGACAGCACCCATGTTAGTCGCAAGTGTCTGTTGAGGAAGAAAAGACGAAAATTGAATTCATTCATCAGGTAAAAAAAAATGAACAAAATACCGGGTATACATTCTCACAAATGATCCAAATAATTAACTCTGTCAAGGCCCAAGTCTGAACATTTTTTTTTCGAGTATCAGTTGGAAAATGTGAGACTACGTTGCGGCTTATATTGTATAAGGAAAGAAATGCAACTCGTACTTGAGTGAATGCAAGACAAACCTTTTTCGCGCAATCAAAACATTTCGATAAAATAAGACTCAATTACATTACAGTGAGAGAGGAGTCAGGAAATTCTACCTTTGTAACTTGAAGTTTAGTTGCACGCTAACTTCCTTAACACGCTTTTCACTGATCTAAGAAATATAATTCAGATGAGCTTGGCCTGAAACTGATGATGAAGACTAGTTTGATTTAATTGTAGAATACATTTTTAATTCAAAAAAATACAAAGGGTTGTTCAGAATCAATCAGGCAATTTATCAGTAAATAAAAGAAACATATCGATTTTTGCTAGCCAATTTTTTAAATAAAAAAAAACTTTTCAAATTAGAATTCTCATGCATAAGAGTATGCTCAACTCGCCAATTTCTGAGTCATGATCATGTAACACAGCACTTCCATGGAATTTAATCATTGGTGCTCGAGACTTAATTTCATTTTAAACTTTTAGAGTTTTCAACTTCTTTCTGCTAGGGGATAGGTCACATTTTTTCATCAAAAATGTATATATTTTTTTTTGCTGCCTACGCAGTTTTTCCACTCAGAATTTGCCGTTGACATTTCGACGGAGCGTTTGTGAGAGTGAATACTGTGCATTCTGACCTTCAGCTCGTCCAATTTCATAGTTTTCTCCCAGGACTTGATGCATATTGTGATTCCGTCCAGCGGCTTTCGAAGCACCTCCAAAGTCTTTTTCGGTCCCTCGTCTCCAACGGCAACAAACTCGTCCTAAAAATCATAAACGCCAAATTCAGCTGAAATCCTGGGCTAAAAATCGGCATTCCGCTTATATCAATCCTAGCGTTGAACCACAGAATTGATAACGAAATCAATGACGAATTTAGTACGGAAATGGAGAGAAAAAAAAAGAATTTGTTTTGTCTGCAAACTCTGCATTTGTCCCCAGATTTTCATGTTCTTGCCTTCATTGAAAAAATTTTTTTTTTCAACCCTCGCCTCAAATCTTGACATAAGAGGACATTCACATGGAAGCATCTTTTCGAATCTCACGGCAATTTGACCAGAATCTGTCTGCAAATTTGAAAAAGACTCGACATTACTTCTTACTTCAACGTGCGATAGGCCGAATTCTCTTGCTTTTCGTGGGTCTCGCCTAAATCACTGTACATACTTCGTAGATAGAAAACATTTGAATTTTTGTGGATGAAAAATACTTTGACCCATGCCTGCAAATGTAAAAATGCACTTCCATTGCATCAACAATTTTTGTAAGTTACTAAATTCTACCCGCACTAAAATTATTACTTCAACTCTCACGCAATCGAAATCAAAGCTCCAACTGAAGGAAAAAAGTTCTTTCACTGATTTATAAACGGGATAATTTGTAAAAACGACGGAATTTACAATATATCATCCAATTTTTCTTTCCTGCGAACCTCAATCCATCAGATGTAAGATGCCATCGGGAATAAGACGCGTCCTTATTTTCCTCACACAATTTCCGAGGAAATAGAAAAGCGTCTAATGATAAAATATGCCAGAATTTGCCATATTATTAAAGATCAAGTTTGATAGCACGATTCACAATCGGGTCACCAACATTCCCGTGACACCTGCCAGAAATTTCAGGAAGCTAGGTCAGCAGTTGAAAAAACAACTTGGCAACTGGAATACGGAAGCTGCTCGCTTCAAGAATTCTAAACACGAAACTTGGTACAGTACTCGTAACGAATTCAACTTGAACGACAGTCACACACGTTTACAGTATAAACGAATAAACCGTTTTTTTTTAAAAATCAAATTTCATTTTATACACAGTATTTATTTATTTATTTATTCGTACGACGGACCTCATCGACGAGGGCTCCTTCCCGGAGAGACTTCAAGAGCCAGCCGACGGTGACGACGTAATTCTTCCTCGAGATGCCCATCAGGTACTTCATGGTTCGCGGGGTTCCTCCGGTTTCCTCGTCCTGATGCACGATCACGTGACTCACTTCGCACCCATCTGCCCCACTGAAATCCCGCGCGTAGGGCACGTTGAACCGCTTCACAAATTTTTGCACAGCTACATTCTCGCGGGCTGGAACACAAACACACACAAAAAATTAAATCAAGATGTCCATGCTGATTGTTTCGCAGAGGGAAAGAAAGAAAAAAAATGATCGATTCTATTTCGATGATTACCAGTTAATGAGGACGTCACGAGCGCCGTGAACCGCGGCCGGGGTTTCGTCTCCAATACTGCTTCCTTTCCGATCGTTCCAGGCACACTATTTAAACAGAATATCAACGCAGAAATGAGAGAAGGCGGAAAGAAGGGTTGGCCCGGAATATTTCAAGCTGAATTTAACCCTGTAGAGTAAAATACATATAGAACGAAATTCCCACAGGCCTGTGAAAAGAAAAACATTACCATATTCACGATTTATGGTGTTTTTAAGACTGACATCTTGGGGAAAACAGATGATACACGATTTGAAGTGCTCCCACAAAATGAATTCGACGAATTTTCATTATTTCCAACTCTTTCGGATGGAACAAGGACGAAAAATTAAAAATGTAGAAGAAATTCAATTATTTTGTGCTTGACCTGTTGCACTGATCCAATTTATGCATAAACTAAACAAAAATTGAATGCCTACGAAGAGCACCAATTTATTTATGATTTATTTCCTGATATGAAACATTTCAAAATTCTAAAATAGAGCTAGAGAAATTTTGATGAGAAACTTTCAAATTTTCCATAATTTAATTTTTTTGGGACAATAAATGAACATTTATTCTTTTCTACGGGTTTTAATCCAAAAAAGTTACGATTTATCCACGTTTGTGCAAATAAGTAAAAATTGCGATAAATCATTCACAAAATCAAGACAAAAAATGCAGTCTATTGAGATTAATTAGTTTTTGGAAACAAAATCATTACAGCATGGTTCCGAAAAAAAAAAATTATCGGAACCACAAACGTTACTTTTAACGGAATTTCACAGTTATTTCAAAAGTTACGAGGAAAGAATATACACATTTCGTGACGACAAACGTGTTTCAGACAAAAGTTTTTAAATGTCCTTTTTTTAAGCAAGAAGAATCAAATTGAAACTGGACATTTCCATGGTGCATGAAAAACCCATTTTCCGACGGACGTGAGCAGGGAAAAATCCACATAAACTAAGGGTATTAATCCGAAGAAAAACCCACCCGCTGCGTCGACGCTGGGAAGTAGGAGTTCCCAGAATCAAGTTATTCTCCTCTTCATCTTTCGCTTCTTCGGCAAATGATTGTGAGACAGAAGAAACGGGTTTGATGGGCAAGACAGGGTCTTCTTTTTTAACTTCGTCTTCGTCGCACGTTTCTTCGTCCGTTTCTGATACGATACAATCCTGCAAAAAAAAAAAGATTTATTTTTATTTACGACAGCAAGAAAAACATGAAAATACCAGTAACAATATTTACTTTTTGAACTTGGGAAGACACTATCAATACACACACTTTCGGTCTCAGATAATGCCCTAAAACGCACGATAATTCCTCAATCAGGTGAAAATTTCGCCGGATGATTCATCTTCATGAGACTAGAACTTATTATAACCAGGATATTCAAAGGACGTAATTCACAATCAAACAAAAGATCGCAGTAGCTAGGAAAAAAAAAACCAGAGAGCAATGATGATTCGACGAAATTCCCTTGAACTTCAAAACCCCCATGCAGTTCACGGAATATGAGAAAGAAAATCTCGATTAGACGAAGAAGGTATGGGAGCGAACACGAACAATAATATTCATCAATAGTTGAAAATACAGGTGGACTCTCTCTTCAACGATTTTTCACGTGGTCTCATTAGGTTTTCTCTCCATGTTATGAGAGTTCTTCACAGCAAATTTCTCTGTACCACGCATTTTTTCTGGTCCCTTGAATTTCGTTGTAGAGAGAGTACCCTTCTCATAAATTGGGAAGTGAACCGATATTCCATATAAAGACATTAAATAATTTTCTACAAGGAAAATTCCTTTCAGATTCTGGCATCTTCACCTTATATAGCGCCTCTACAACAATATCATCCTCATACCAAGTTATTTCTAGATTCCATAAATACATGGGATAAATACGAAAGAAAAGTAAAGCAAATAAGTATCTTGAATTTTTTTGTAGAATCATTTTTGGATTCAATTGATTGACGGGAACATGCAAACCAAAAAAATTCTCCACTTTCATTTTCGAGCAACCACATTTTTTCAAACAATGGTTGACCTCGAGTGTCACTTACACCAAAAACTTCGAGATACAGTACAAAAATAATTTAGCAATTCCAAAATTTTTCTCCAAAAAGCTCTATCACCAAAAATAATTATAGTAGATTAAAAAATTA